GCCGTACGATCATCGAAGTTAAGCTACGTCGAGCCTGGTCAGTACACAGATGGGTGACCGCTTGTGAATACCAGGTGCTATAAGCTTGGATGTGCGTGTGGTGTAATTGTTAATTGGAGAGACGGTTTCTAAATTCTACTTGGGTTCGTAAAGCAAATACCCTAGGGAAAGATATGGATCCACCATTTTTCCATCCAGATATTGGTTAATTAGTAGGAATTGTATCGCTAAATCATTAGTATCTAAAAAAAATTACATTTTAAAAAGGTGACGTATTGTAATTATTTACATTATTCGAAACGTTGTCCTCATCTTTATTGCCATTTTCACGACGTTTCGGCCGTTGTACGCTGAGGCCTTCTTCAGGTGATGGGAATTTCGAACTGAACCCTTTATTTCTTTCACGGGTGTAGATTGTTCTAGTTCACCGTGCCACATGCACACGGCGCAGTGGATAAAAACGTTGTTTGGATCCAGTGACTCGAATCAAAGAGTCGTGAGTTCAATACCTGGCTAGTGCAGTGGTGAAGAAAATGAGAGTTGAATTAAAGGGCAATAACTGACACATGGCACGTGGAACTAGAACAATCTACCCCAGTGGACGAAATAAAAGGTTTAGTTCGAAATCCCAAACGTCTGAAGAAGGCCGAGGCGTACAACGGCCGAAATGTCGTGAATATGGCTATAAAGATGAGAGTCCGAACAATGTAAATATTTATTCTTAGTGATAAGTCTGTATAAAACTAATCAATCAGTCATATACTGTATACTTCAGTCAAATAAAAACATATTTTAAATTTGATAATTTTAATTGAAATATGAATGTGGATCAACAAATCCGTAGCCTTATGCGTAGTTATTGGCAATAGTAAAAAAAGTAATTTAATTTTTACCAGTGAATTAAATGCCTTGTCAAGAAGGAGATCATTTCGAACAAATAATTGTAGTGTAAAATAATTGTTTTTTCAATCATTAGGCTACAAAGTTCTTCATGTACCGAGATGAAAGGAGGTCAAGAACGTGAATAGCTAATGGAAAAATTCATAATTTTTTTCTTATTGCATATATGTTTTCTATCTGATATTTAATGTCGTGTTGTTAATTAGTTTATATGGTCTTTGGAATGAGAAAAATGCTGATCTTACTTTAATGATATTCGTAAAACCTGTTTACTATTGCTTTCTTATATTCTGCATTAAGAATCATATTTAAATATCGTGGAACTGTTTGATAAACACGTTTTTTTTATCATATCAACAAGTCAGTCTGAAGATGACCTTAAATTAAATGCCACGTAATTTTATGTCAAAGGAATGAGTTTTATTTTTGCTTTCATTAGTAGATCTATATCCTTAATCGTCTAATTCGAAGCGCTGACATTCGCCTAGAGCAGTGTTTCCCAAACTGTGTTTTTCTCATTTTCGGAAAGAGAATTTGTTCGCGCCTCGCCAAATTTTATGTGATAAATAGTACATTTAAAAATAAAAAAATAATAAAAAGAGAGAGTGTCTTAAAGGGAAATAACCGCTGATTCGGATTCAATGATAACGCTCTTCTCCAATTTACAGACCCGAGTTAATATATTCTTAATAATTGAGATATTGAAAAAATATGACAATGATATCGGTCAATAATTATTTGTAACTATTCAACTTGGGACTCATACATGCAAATACAAGTAATCCATAATAATATTTTAGATTTAGAAGTTACCTTGTGAGAGGAAGGCCCCGAAACGGTGCACATTCTCTCCTGATGACCCCAGTTTAAAATTCGAAAGGAACAAATTCAGTGAAGTCATATGCCGTAGCGAAGCTCGGTGGAAGTGTCATTGGCATGAGGAGCATTACACATTCAGCTCGCTTCAGGTGAGTTTCAATTACTTTCCAGTAATTTCCTTCTTGTAACTATTCAACTTGGGACTCATACATGCAAATACAAATAATCCATAATAATATTTTAGATTTTGAAATTATATTGATTTTTGGCATATGAATTTTATGAAACACCTTCTAAATCTTTGATTGTCTTTCAATCATTCCGCTTAACTTACTATCATCTTCCGCCGTACCTATGAGGCACGTCGCGCCGTTTGGGGACCACTGACCTCGTGCCGTGTCCTCGACTATATCAATTGTGTTTTAATCAATGATAGTTCTTGTCACTTGATGCATTTAGTCTTTAAATCGAGACGATCCGAAGAAAAGTTGAAGTCCTATCAGGATCTATTATTGGTAGTCATAAGCTCTCCCTCCGGGCCTCGAGCTGCATGCCCGAACCATCGGAGACGCGGCTGAAGCAGGACGGGAGGAAGAGGATGAAGACTCAGGCGACGATGTAGAGTGGCTGTGGGCACACGATCGATTAGGCGGCATCGTAGAATGCAGCGAAGGCAATCGTTGTCGAACACTTCAAGCCTTCGTAGGTCAACCGCTCTAAGTGGCCACGTTTTACAACCATAGAGAAGAATAGTCCGAACAATAGCCTGATAGATGCACCCCTTCGTAGCCGTGGAAATCTCCCGTCGCCCCCATAGTGACCGCTTGAGACGCACAAATACGGACCTTGCAGCTCATATACAGCGTTCAACCTCAGCAACAGCCTATCCGGATGGTGTAATGGTTGAACCGAGATAGACGAAAGACTGCACGTCCTCCAGATTGACCCCGTCCAGCGTCAGTGGCTGCCAGTTGATTGGATCAACCAGGGACGGCATAACATTGGTCTTCGAGGCATTGATGGTCATACCCATATCCCGTGCTGCAGCTTGCACACGGTTGAGCGCAGCTTGCACATCGTCACAGTTCGATCCGACCAAGACAATGTCGTCCGCGTAGGCCAGATCAGACACCCTGACATTCCAATCAAGCGCAGCTCCAGTGTAGTTCCAAAGGGTCTTGTCGAAGATGTAGTCGATTGTATAGTTGAATAGGGTAGGGGATAGGGCACGCTCTTGCCACACACCAGTCTTCACCTCAAACGTCTCCGACTCCTCACCATAAGCACGAACACGGGCTCGCGTCGACCGGTAGTAGCGATGTACTTCTCCCTCATTCTCTTCCTGGCTGGCGAAAACGTGTCAGTGGGCAGCTGAGGACGTGGACTGGCACAATCAATGATGACCTAGCAGTACTATCGGGTCCACAAGTAGTTGGTCTTCGACGATGGAATCGCGATTGGCTCGCCATTTCGAGTGACCTAGCTCAGGATCGGCGAGCGTGGGCAGCGATGGTCCGTGATGCTGTACTTGCTCGGGAGGAAGCCGGCTCAACCCGACAAGTGAAGTCAAGATTGGTAGTCATAAATCTAACAACATATTCTCTGTCTGAATTTCTGAGGTGATAAGTTATCATTTTTTTACGCTATTTAAACTCGAGACAATGGCCTACTGGATTGAAGCGTTGGTTTAGGAATTTGGTGAAATAGTAATTGTGAGTTCAATCCTTTGATCAGGCAGTGTGTACTTGGACTCCGTAAAAAACGTGGCAAGCAATAACTGGGCAGTACTAAAAACAAGTACCCGACGAGATATCCCTAGACATATAAAATATTTATAAAAAGGTGGAGGGAAGCCACGCTACAGCCGTGGGAACGTATCTAAATCCGGTATACCAAGTCAGGGATGATAATATTGCAGATTCTTTTTTGGATATGTAAATACATAGCCGAAGCACCAAACCAGATGTGGTAACAATATTCAATGCACGGATGAAATGTAAACTTATAAATGTGTCGAAGGAAAACAAAAATTATCTAGAACGACACAATCGAGCGATTCTACCTCGCAGCACACGTAACAGAAGACGCAGAAGGCACAAGATGTTATCCTCCTGGAAGTTAGCATCAGGCATGATGATGGTTCTATAAGACGATTAAAAAGAGATCATTTTCTTTTTAGAGGCCGTGATATAAAGAAACAATTTCTTGCCCCAGTTAACAACAGATGATTGAAGGTCATTTTTTAAGATCAGCTCCCAATTTCACTCCCCATCGAAACATTTATCAACAAAGAGAGTCGAGAACTGATGACATCGAAAAGGTCGTAGATGAAAATTGGTAACAATGTAGCTCTAACGGGAAGCACATGGGGCACCCACATTAATGTGTGTTTCTTCCATGTTTTTTAACATCTAAGACACGAATATTGAACAAATTCAGATTTCAATACGTTTATTGTCTTATATAATTTTTCACTGAGAGAAAGAAATCTTTTAGCGGAGTAGATCATGACTTCTCTGTCAACAGTTAAAAGTTAACAATTTCTAATTTAAAATTTTGTAAATGCCTCCAATTGCATTAAAAAAAAAATTTCCATCACATCTTATGCTAGAGTATTTGTAAAAAAAAAAAATTAGATCAGGACGTTGATAGCTATAACATTGATGTATGTCGTCAAGAAACCAAAATCGAAAAAGGTCTTAATATTTATATCGGAGTTAAAAGAGACCAAGTTACTGGCTTTCTAATCAGAATGTAAGTATCATGGAAATGGTTTTGTCGTCAATACGAAATGGAAGAATAACATCTCTTGACATTAGATGAATCATAGTATACAGATTGAATTATTAATACAATTCCATCCTACCCCGTAATAACTTTGAAGAGAGTGGAAAACTTGCAGTAAATTCGTTAGTTAGCACAAGACAGGAAGGTTTGGATAGGTTTGGCACGAGTTAATTACAAACTTGCTGAGATTGGCAGTGCGCCTAGAAGTCGAAATAGCTCTGAGGATTATGAGAATAGAATCTGTAAAATAATATATTAAATTGTGGTACCTATAGTTTACTGAATACTAGACGCATTTGTATCATCGTAATATTTAGCATTTATGTTATTAGGCAAACGTTCTTAGGCAAATTTTTAATTAATTTATTTTTCTTGATTTTTCATTTTATTTTAATTTTTAATCAAAACATCCCAAGCAAGGCGATAATGCCACTAAGAAGCAAGAGGCTACTGGAAGCGAAAGAAAAGGAAAAAAAAAAAACTTTAGAAAGAACCGGTAACCCAATTTTATCAGGAATCAAAGGATAAACCTCGACTCCTGTTCAAAAGACCGAGGAGGAGTATGAACCGGACGAG